TGTGTGTACGTGCTGTCGGCACAACATCCAATCAAATTATACCCACGTTGTTTTGACGCGATAGCATCGAGCAAATCAAATTGCGGGACAACCGATGTGGAAGACATGTCAAACAACGCTCGGGTGAGAGAAAATGATACCAAAGATTGTGTTGTTCAGATTTAAAAACTACAAAGTGGTCAACAAAAAACAAGCGGCAGTGATCTGTGTAAATATATCATTATTTTCTTTAAAAGGACTAGAAAAGGACTCGAAACAGAAACCGCAAGACTTGGGACTTGACTTGACACTTTTCGGTCTTGACTTGGACTCGACTCGGACTTCGCCTGTCTTGACTTGAGACTTGACTCGGACTTGAGTGCAAAGACTTGAGACTTACTTGTGACTTGCAAAGCAATGACTTGGTCCCACCTCTGATTACAACCGTATTAAACTGTCCCTATCTGAAGTAAATTCTATTTATAGAACCTTCCTCTACTTTCAGGTGTAATACAAACAAAATTAGAATACCCCCTTTTATACAGTTATCTCCAACCGTGTCTCCTAGCACTTTATGCTTATCAGGATGAGCCCTGTGAAAACCAATGATAAGAGAGGGATCCAAATTAAGAGAGCTAAACACCCAAGAGCTCTTCTCTGGCCTTAACCTTACCAATCTATAATGTACTGCCAACCGCTACCGCTGCAACAAAAATTCAGGAGCCACTGGATGGTAAAGGCATGGTGATCGTCCATGATCTGGGCAGGTGGAGGGAGTTCAGCCACAGGGCTCAAAGGGCTGGAGTTCACCGGCGTAATCACAGGCACATGTAAGGTAAGGTGCATTTTCATAGGGTGGAACCTTAGGGTGGAACCTTAAAAGACCCTCCTGTTGTCCTCATATTCTGTATACACCCAATGTCCTCTGGGTCAAATTGACCTGTCTAAACCCCCAATTGATTGAATTTTAAACACCAATTCTTATTTCGTCTTGACTAAACCCCCAATTGATTGAATGTTAAACACCAATTCTTATTTTGCTTGAAGAAACAACTTGTCATTCACCACAAATTGTGTGAATACTTGAGTATTCCCTCTTCACCTGGCAGAAAGACTGCATTTATTCAAGATAACACTCATTGCTATGACACTGTCAATTGTATTATTGTTTACTGTATAGGTAGTAAGCAATATTTGTATAGTGTTTCTATAGCTTAGGAAAGAAAGCAAAAAGTTTTGAATGCAGCCCTAAGTAAGCATGCAGGTCAGTCTCATCCATTCTTTTCCAGCTGTCTCCATATTTGCGAAAACCCTCCAGATTTGGCATCTCCAGGATTTTTTTTTTTTTTGCTATTGCTGGTGTGATAAACATGTAGAATGTTAAGACAATGTCATGGGCATGAGAAACGGCATATCTTGTGGGTTATGGGGTCATCCTCATGACATTTTGTTGTGCCACCCTGCCGTGTTTGTCATATGCTGCCAAGGACCATGTTATTTTGACGTTCTTTGAAAGGAAAGTCTCTCTCTCAGATTCAGGGATTTCTTCTTCTTCTGAAGATGATTCATCATGCTCCGGGATGCTTCTATTCCTCCCCATCTTCTTCTTCTGAATCAGAGAAGTCTTGTTGGACATCTGATCAAATCAGCTCCAGAGCCTATTGAATGTTATAATGCACACTCAGCACAGAGATAATTCAATGAAGAAAACAATGTTTGTACCTTTTTTTGTACAGCTTACATTGAAATATGAAAAAAGGCAACAATTCACTTTTTTCTAATGTTGGGGTCAATCTAGGAAAAGTCATCAAATTTCAAGTTGAAAAAATATCATTTAGGGGATATTTATTTGGTTTTAACACAGCGGTGGGTCATTTTGACCCAAGGACGACAGGAGGGTTAAAAGGCACAAAGGAACCAAAACAGGAGCGGAAAGGCAGAGCCGAAAACTGCAAAAACTCTCCTCAACAACGGTGGGACACATCTTGTCCAGAAAGCAGGTGAGAAAGGGCGTTGATTGTCATGACAGGAAAGACTTGGAAAGCAGGAAATCTCCACAACTGGAAATTGAACGAGGACCTGCAGTCCTCACGAACAGACGAGACAATCTGGCAGCGAGGAGTGTATGGCTACGGCTTAAATATGCTGCTCGCTCATCAGCGACAGCCGGTGAGCACAGGTGGACCCAATCTCATGATTGCAGTGCTGCAGCAGGCATGACAGAACCAATGAAGCATGGCTTCCAACTCTCAGCCTAAAGAGGGAGGTCTGATGGTTATACCTTTTGTCCTAGTTGATAAGAGGGAGCGGTGTTTATCAGCTGATTCTTTAGTTCTGTTTTTTGTTCATTTCAAGGACAGGTCCCATGTCCCATGTCAGACCGTTCCTGTTGGGAACCAATGAAACATGGCTTCCAACTCTCAGCCTAAAGAGGGAGGTCTGATAGTTATACCTTTTGTCCTAGTTGATAGGAGGGAGCGGTGTTTATCAGCTGATTCTTTGGTTCTGTTTTTTATTCATTTCAAGGACTCTGCAAAGTCAACAAAGTCCTGAGTGTGATGAGACATGGTTGGTCACCAAAACTGTTGCCTCAAGAAACTAAAGGTGATATTCCGGATGACAGGTGATTTTTGTGGAATGTGCCCACCCCAGCAAACGAGACCTGCTCTGGACCGGGCCAAGAAGCTTTCCCTGCCCAGTGTACTCCTCCACCTACTATGTCACTATGGCTATAACACATTCAGGAGTCTCATCAACCTCCGTGAGTCTGGAAGTGGTATCTGGCTTCATGTTGCAGGAACCAAGTCAGTATGTGAGCATGAAGTGGAAAAACAGGAACAGTATCATTCTAGCCTCGCAAGAGTTGAGCTGCTTAGTCGTACTGAGGTAGGTTAGGTTTTTTACTCCATCCCTCCAGCAAATGCCTTCATTCAGCTAGCACCAACAATACTGTCAACAGCTCCACTGTGCCGGGGTGAAGGTCTTCTAGAAAAGAAAGCACAGGGATGCATCTATTTATCATGAGCCCTCCCTCCGGGGCAACACCGATTCTACTAATGTCTGAAGCATCCACCTGTACTACAAACGCAAGTGGGATCTGGGTGAGAGAGGTAACAGGTAAGATACATTTCTTCTTTCAAGAATTTGAGAGCGTTGTCAGCTTCCGGAGTACAGGAGTGGTGTGTTTTGGTTAATTATAATTTCTGATTAATCGTCTGTACAAGTTTGAAAAACCAAAGAAATATTGTAACTGTTTAGCAGGGTATCCATTGGGTTGCCACTTGTAGTGATCCACTCAATTTTAGAGCTAATGAAGGGGAGACTCAGATAATACCCATTGTAGACTGAAAAACTTGAAAGCTGTAAAGGAAAGCCATGGGACCTGACCATGTCTGGTCAGGTCCCATGTCAGACTGTTCCCAAAGGGTTAAGGTTGGACCCCACATCTCCTCAGTACTCAGCCTAAGTACTGGCTCCTTTCAGGGCTGTGAGCCCTTTGCTGTTTACCTTCATCACACATGACTCCACCCCCACCTACTTCAGGAACAGCATCAGAAAGTGGACACTCAGCCCCTGTTCATAGAGTGTGGAGTCAATAGTGTGTGGAGGGGTGTGAGACTACAGATTCCCAGGTGTGTACATAGAGGAACATCTGACTGGGTGCATACATTCTAATGCTGTAATCAAGAAGACACAGCGGTGTCTGTGACTTGCTTCATGGTGAGCGTGAGCATTGTACACTAGTCAGGACTCAGGAGCCCAGCTCCTGAAAAACAACCCCACACCATAATTCTCTGGGTTTGGAGGTTGCCAGGAGAACGGTACATTTCAGACTGCATTGTGCCGACTGTGAAATTTGGTGGAGGAGGAATTATGGTGTGGGGTTGTTTTTCAGGAGCTGGGCTTGGCCCCTTAGTTCCAGTGAAAGGAACTTTGAATGCTTCAGGATACCAAAACATTTTGGACAATTCCATGCTCCCAACCTTGTGGGAACAGTTTGGAGCGGGCCCCTTCCTCTTCCAACATGACTGTGCACCAGTGCACAAAGCAAGGTCCATAAAGACATGGATGACAGAGTCTGGTGTGGATGAACTTGACTGGCCTGCACAGAGTCCTGACCTGAACCCGATAGAACACCTTTGGGATGAATTAGAGCGGAGACTGAGAGCCAGGCCTTCTCGACCAACATCAGTGTGTGACCTCACCAATGCGCTTTTGGAAGAATGGTCAAAGATTCCTATAAACACTCTCCTCAACCCTGTGGACAGTCTTCCCACAAAAGTTGAAGCTGTAATAGCTGCAAAAGGTGGACCGACATCATATTGAACTCTGGGCTCTGGGCACACAGTATTCTCGGGGACCCAACCCTTTGTGCTCTGAAGAACTATTGTTATTAAATAACAATTAAAATAACTTGTTCTAAACTTCTTTATTGCTTTCAACCCAGCTTCTTCAAAATCCTCTTTTCCTCCTCTCCTCCTCTTCTTACTGTTCCTCCTCCCATACCCGTAAGACAGCATTTATTTGATCAGAAAGCGGTTTATTATCCCACCTGTAATCAGCACTGTTGTCGGCCACAGTGCATGTAAAACCACTCGGAGCATAACTTGACCAGCACTAACCAAGCCGAGCACAAGAAACAGAACACTGCGCACATGCACCACAACATTGTTTCCCAAAGACTGGGTCATGGAGCATAACTGCGCACATGCACTACAACATAGTTTCCCAAAGACTGGGTCACGACCCTCAGGTGGGTCACAAGAGGTTTTTTGGGGGGGGTCGTCTCACATCATGTTTCCCAGGAATTTACTGATTTGGGTCACAAAGGTTTTACTGTGCTATTTTATCCTGCCTGTGCACTATAGGATTGCACTTTTAAATTTAGTTGTACTTGTACAACTTGAGAGAATAGGAGAGAAATCTTCATCTACAGTCTGGAATGAGTTGCAGGCAACAAATTCATGACAAGAGAAAATGCTCAAAATTGGTTAAACTAAGGACTAAGACTAAGGACTAAGAAGAAAAAAAATGTATTTGTGGTAGTTTAGGGGTACATCAGTAGCCAAGTAATAGTGAAAATATGAAGGCGCTTTTATCCAAGTTTACTGTATCCAAGTTTGCTGTATTTTTAATGTAAAGCAATGCTGCAATCTTTTTTTTTCAGGAGTAGATTGTGTGGTTCTCCGTTCAGCTATGGTCCCGCTTCTCTCCACTAAGACATGTAACCAGCGTGAAGTTTATGGGGGTCTCATTTCCTCCTGGATGCTATGTGCAGGATATCTGGAAGGAGGAGTTGACTCCTGTCAGGTGCAGTATCACAGAAAAAAAACATGCATAAAAATAATCATGGCAATGGAAGGAGTGGATTTCACAACGGTTTAAGGAATTGTTGGTGAAAAAGGCTTTGGACCGTAAAGGAATACTGTATAGTTAAAATTGTCAGGTTAATTTGTATATAAATGAAGCGGGGTGAAAACAAATTATTGAGTGCTATAGCTGAAGATGTAGATTGTAGATTGGTAAATTGGATTAGACCGAATGCCACTTTTTATGCAACATGGAGCTTAATGGATGCTTTGGTAAAATTTGAGAAGAGGACAAAGAGTGATGTCCAAGATCTAAGATCCAAGATGCTTGGATGGAAAAAAATTCATGGTTAACATTTACAACACTTGAAAAGGATCTTTCTGAAAGATACTGAAAAAAAGATGACCGTATTTTCCGGACTATAAGTCACATTGTTTTCATCCTATGGCTGTGTTTGCGACTTATACTCAGGTGCGACTTGTATATGTTTTCTTCTTCTTCATTGTACATTTTTTGGCTGGTGCGACTTGTACTCTAGAAACGTTTAAGTAAGAAAATGCGGTAAATGCTATATATTAATACAATCCTTAAGAGAAGACTGTATTGTGGTAATGTACAACGTTACATCATAGCAAAATTAGAAAGGAGTCTGTAGGCTAGTCAAAAGGCAAAGCACCAACTGAACCAAGAATAGCATGGCAGGATGTAAAAGAGTGGGTAGAGTAAAGGTGTGGTACAGAATTTAGGTATGTGTTGCAATGGGCTCTTGGGTGAAATGCATTGTCAAAAAACTGTGAAAAATCACAGATAAGGTGGTGAGCCAACTGCCACATGGTCTGTCAGTGCTTTCCAGAATATAAAAAAGAGGACATGAACTGTAGAAGATAGTCATGAGGGGAGTGTAGGGAGTTAGGAAGGAATAAGTAAGGAAATAAGGAATAATAACTTCATTAAGTTAAAGAGAGAAGAAGAGAAAAAAATATCTGTAAATAGGTTTTAAAATAGAATTATTTTATAAAATTAAATGTATCCACAATATTGTCTCATTCTATATTGTATTTACAAATATTAAATGTTACATATGAAATATTTCATGGAAGGAGAGAGGAAGTGCCACTGATATTTCCAGATTAAATACCAGTGAAGGTAGAGGACTGAAGGATTGATTCACTGATGAAATGCAAAAGACTGTACACAGTTTAAAAAAACAAGTGTGATCAGGCACATGATTTAAGACATATTTGGATTAGAATTCATTTTTGTATTCCTTCCCATTGGTATGGATTTTAAATTTTATATGGCCACAATAGGAGTTCAGAATGGAGTAGATATGTGTCTCTCTCAGAGCCTGTCAAATGAAATGGAAATTGAATGTTTTCAGTTTTTAATGCTCTTTGTACTTGTTGATTTGTATTTCTTCAGGGGGACAGCGGTGGTCCTCTGGCTTGTCAGGACTCATCTGGATGGAAATTAGTTGGAGCAACTAGCTGGGGGATTGGCTGTGCTATGAGAAATAAGCCAGGTGTTTACACTAGCATCCCACAATCACTAGGTTGGATCCACCAGCAAATGGAGGTCAGTCAAATTTCAAATGTTTCGGCAGCTATCCCTTTAGGAAGGAAAACGAACTCCTTGTCATTGTGACACACATCACTACACACAACGAAATCTGACCTGTGCATTTAACCCATCACCAAAGTGAACAGTGGGCAGCTTTTTGAGCGCCTGGGGGGCAGTGTGTGGGGATGGTGCCATGCTCAGATGGTAACTTGGCAGCTGGCGGACTCCAACCTGAAACCTGAAACCTTCCGGACCCAAGTCCGCTTCTTTAACCACTAAGCCACCACTGCCCCTATTTTTAGAAAAAAACATGTGACAAGTAAAACTCAGAAAAATCAGCTTAAACTGTTGATATATAGAACTTCAACCCAGAAAAAGAACGAATATCTTATGTCTGAAGTTTTGAGTCTCTATAAGAGACTCAGATTCTAGAAATATGTTATCAGTCTTGTGGTATTTCCATCTCCTTCTTAGAGCCGCTACCTTACCGTGGTAGAGAGGTTTGTGTGTACCAATGATCCTAGGAGCTTTCTGGGTTTGGATCGGGCGACAGGTCCCAACTCTTGTTTGTACTTATGCACTAAATAGCAGTTCAGAGTACCCAGCCTTTTTAGAGTCCTTGGAGGGGACACTAAGACGTGCCTCTACTGGGGATTTGAGTGTTCTACTGGGTGATTTCTATGCCATGACAATGTTAACAAGGCGTCTGCAAAGAATATCTGCACAACATCAACAATCTGAACATGTGATGTACAAGGAGGGCCTCAATCTCAGTAGCAGAAGGGAGCTTGGACAAGGGGATGAAGTGTACATGGAGAATCGGTCATCAATCGTGCAGATGGTAGTATTACCTGATGAAAGAGGTAAGCCTGTGATGAAGTCCAAAGTGATATGGGGCCACGGACATCGAGGAGTCTCCAGGAGATGAAGTAATCCAGCATGAGGTTGGTAAGAGGACACCAGAACCGCTGCTGGACAAACTGTAACATGGTAACTAGGATGACAGGTAAGTTTAGATGAGTTACCCCACGAAAGAGCCTGGGAGCTTTGAAAGATTGAAATGTCTCAGTAGTTCAAACGAAAGTGACTTTTGAGGACTTTAATTTTGGAGCAGCAGTCCTGCTTTTGGACCTGTCAAAGTTCACAAACCCAAGGAAGCACAAGCGTTGTTTGCAGGACGTGGTCACTGGCCACTTTGCCATGGCATGAACCTCACCCGGGACTGCCTTTATCTTAACTTTCTCCACAATGAATCCCAGGAAGCTGATAGAGGCCATGTGAAAAATCTAATTTTTCCAGACTTGACAGAGGCCTTAATAAAATGACCAGCTTGGCCACAAACGAGACAGAAGCCTTAGCCAATCAGTATCATCTTCTGGTAAGTGACAGGTGAACCCGATCTATTTGCATAGAGTATAAGAGGGGGGAGAAGGCGAAACAGGTGCAGGGCCCTCTCCCATTATGCTGCTGCCCACTGTTTAGCTTTACCAGAGAACATACTAATTATATCAGCAACTTAAGATTTATCTAGAAAGCTGTTAAAGAGCAATATACACTATATTACCAAAAGTATTCGCTCACCTGCCTTGACTCATACTATGAACTGAAGTGCCATCCCATTCCTAACCCAGAGTTCAATATGATGTCGGTCCACCTTTTGCAGCTATTACAGCTTCAACTCTTCTGGGAAGACTGTCCACAAGGTTGAGGAGAGTGTTTATAGGAATTTTTGACCATTCTTCCAAAAGCGCATTGGTGAGGTCACACACTGATGTTGGTCAAGAAGGCCTGGCTCTCAGTCTCCGCTCTAATTCATCCCAAAGGTGTTCTATCGGGTTCAGGTCAGGACTCTGTGCAGGCCAGTCAAGTTCATCCACACCAGACTCTGTCATCCATGTCTTTATGGACCTTGCTTTGTGCCCTGGTGCACAGTCATGTTGGAAGAGGAAGGGGCCCGCTCCAAACTGTTCCCACAAGGTTGGGAGCATGGAATTGTCCAGAATGTTTTGGTATCCTGAAGCATTCAAAGTTCCTTTCACTGGAACTAAGGGGCCAAGCCCAGCTCCTGAAAAAAAGAAAATTCCAGTTGGCAAGGAAAGATTGTGAAATAAAGAAATGCAGGAAAACACACAGAAGAGGGCAGCAAAGAAAGGGTTGGGTAGTCAGGTAGTTGTGGGAGATTAAAAAAAAGATACCTGTTGAATATAAAGACAATAGGTTTTGGATAAGAAAGAAGGAAAGAAAGAAAGACATTTTCAGCACATAACTAGAAAAGGTATTATAATATGATTTTCATTTATGGTGTCCTGCGTGTGGCGCTTTGGCCCAGAGGCAATGTCTCTGTCATTGGTGTGGAACCCCAGGGTTCACCTCCTGGGCAAGTTCGAATCCCGTTTAGGGCGGTTGGTACCTTCCAGTGGACTCACCACCTGCAGGAAGGTTTGGTACGGTGCAATGTGATTTGGGTGGCGACTGCTGCCCCCGCAACCCGGTAACGGATAAGCGGATGAAAATGGATGGATGGATGGATGGTGTCCTGCGTGAAATAAATCAGGACTAGGAAAGGGCTGTTGCTCTTTCTGTTACCCAAATATCAGAAATAAATCGGGACTAGGAAAGGGCAGTTGCTCTTTCTGTTACCCAAATATCAGACACACTTCTTAGAAAATTTCGGAATCCCTAATTATACATCTCCTTACCCAATGTTGGTTGCACGGGCAGTAACCCCTAGATTCCCAGCCACATAGTCCAGCACATCTGCATGAATCCCAAGGTTTTCGCAAGGCAGCTAGGAATTTAAGTTTCTCTATTGTGTCCCTGGTATTTCTTTACAGTTTACTCCAGTAAAGGGCAATTGAGCAACTTTTTTTTTCCACAAATTTAAAAAAAAATGCTATAAAATTGTAAAGATTACAACACTTTTTTTTCACATTTTTTTTAAAATAAATGCTATAAAATTGTAAAGATTACAATTTCTAAGCATGTAATATCTTGATAAATCAGGAAATGACGGGCACATTTAATCCACTCATAGGTAGGCATTTGCCAAATATGTATCAACTATAATAATCCGCAAGTCTACAATTTCAATATTACACAATGTGGGATATATTGCATGTGGTATTTGGGGGCACAGAAGTGTGCTATGTTTTAACAATGCAGTTAGAGGCACTTGTGGTGATTGTGACACACAATCCTATACACTGAACTTTTAAAAAAAGTTAGTACATAAATTGCGTGAACCTTGTTATCTAACTTGACCAATTCAATTTCCTCTAGGCTTGTAATTGTTTAAGACTAAATTGAACTCTCTTCACTTTTTCAAACGTCCTGTCCATTTGCAGGTATTTAACCCTTGTGCGGTCCTTTGCATTTTTGTAGACCGTTTGTCCTTACAATGATTTTCATCTTGTCCCATCTTGTGTGGTCAAATTAACGTTAACCCTGTCTTGTCATTTCAGAGAGAAGAGGCTTATCATTCTGCAAGAACAAAGAAATGAACGATGATTTTTCTATTTGAAAAGGAACCACAACTACAAAGGATAACGTCCCATTTTAGGGCAAAACATGACTGAATCATACAATGCAGACAAGCACAGTAAAGTTACGCATCATTTATTCCAAAATAGAAAGCTTTGAGGCAAATGTCCAGGCAGAGTCCAGGTACTCTACATAGTCTCACTGCAGTAGCATGTATCACCATAAAAAAGTTAAATGATGGCAAAATTCCAATGCTTCTTTACAGTTGACATGTGGATCCTGATAATTGTGATAACAGCATAGTGTTTTAAATTGTGCAATTTCAAATATGATGCATGCACTGTTCCAAGTAAAACAATAAAAACATGTATGTTACACACTGTCAGTTTCCGTTTGTGCATTTTGCAACAATTCTTAGAGAAACGACACACATAAGGCCTTATGAATACTCTGTGTACCAATTAGGATAGCAATTTTAAGCACTGTTTTTTTTTTTTTTGTAGAAAACATCAAAGAACCCTGAACAACAGGGTTGCTACCTTTATCATCCGTACATAAATATCCATTACAAAACAGCAGAAGACAAAAAAAAGGACAAGCCCACCTGTTTTATATTTGTGAATATAAAAATAAGCCTATCAACTTTTTCTCACTTATTCTTTTTTTTTTTTTTGAGCAGTGGAGTCATTAGTAAGAGTGTTAACACCTACTTAAAAGCATGCAAAAAGTGAAGACAAACTCTTATAGATATTATTTTGAAGTGTTGAAAGGGAAATCATGTAGGACAAGGAATGGAGGAGCCGGGGAGGTTCACATTTATTAGCAGACATACAAAACTAGCCTCTGTGTTTCAAACACTTCCTTTCTTTGGGTTTTGTTTAATTTAACCCTTTGAAGCGAAATTGATTAGAAGTGCACTCAAACAATAACTACAGTTTCTGAAAAACAACTCCTGATGAAGACACATGGAGCACAAACAGATGGGTGTCAGCAGGGTGGCGGCTCGGAGGAAAAAAGTAGAAGCGCTTCTGTTATATCCCGCATTGTGCTCCATGTAAACCTAACAGGGTTAAGTACTATAATTTATTTGAAGATAATTCCATTAATCTTTTATAGTGATTTGTATGTTTGTTTTTGAAGGGAGATTCGGTGAAGGAGGGCAATGCAGGATCTACTGCAATGAATCACTGTTGTCCAGGGTCAATCCAGTCATGTCTGCATCATCATCATTGTCTTCACCGCTGTCCACTGACTCATCTTCACTGTGGCCTCCAATCATTACTTGCTGCACAGCTAGCGTTGCGCCATCTGACGTCAGGCTTTGCAGACCTTCCATGTTCATTGTCACCATTGTACCTGATCAGAAGAAATGTTGAGAATCGAACAAGTGTAAAACATTAATTTGCCTAGGATTTATTCTTAAATAGATAAGATTAGATTAGATTAGAGTAGCGGTGTTTATATGCAGCGTGTTTATGTGTGGAGTAGCAGTGTTTATATGCAGCGTGTTTATGTGTGGTGATGAAGCCCACGTGCTTTGAATTTCTGCTTACTCTTCCTTGCACAAAGTGGGCACACCTTTGGGTGGAAGTATGTACAATGTGCTGTTATACCAAATACTAGCCAGCTGACAAGCTTACAAAGGGTATTGTAAAAACATTGATATGTACCATCTGGCATGGTTACATGCTGCTCTGTTCCTCCCCCTGTGGCGATAGAATCAGGCCAAAATCGCTGCAGTGGCCGGTTTGGCTGAGTCTTCTTTTTGGCTTTGGGCGTCTCTGATGAACTAGCATCCAGCATAGGCTGCAGAATTCGCCTTCTTGCATTTATAAACCTGGTAAAAAAAAAAAAAATTAAAAAAAAAAACCAAAGGTTAAATGATTTCCCTATTATTATTGCTGCTGTTGTTATTATTATACACACATATATACATACATATATATACACATACTCATATATAGATAAATACATACATATATATACATACATAGATATATACATAAAAGACTAAATAGGGAGAGTTAAACAAACCTACCAATTATTAACTTGCAAAAGTGTCAGGTTAGTTTGATTTGCAATCTGTTTCTTTTCATCCTCTGTAGGATACGGGTGCTGCAGAACAAGCAGACAAAGTGTAAATGTTTGAAATGTCTTATTTCGAGCAATACACAGAAAAGGATACCAAACCGACTGACCCCAATATGCTGAAAGAGCCAGGAGCGCATGACATTGGTGGCATGTTTGGGTAGAACACCACGCTTGGTCTTGGTGGAGTTGTCATCATGATTAAACAGATTCAAGTCCTGGTGAAACTGCAGCTGGAGCTAAACATAAACACTCTGATTAGGTATGTTTCTAATTTGTCCCCCAAAATATTGATTAAGCTAAGTTCAAGCTAAGTTCAAGCTAAGTTTAAAACAATAAAATTATGATTACCAATTATAAACATTCAATCAAATGATAATTTTCTCCAGTTTAAGGGCAACCCGAAACCTCCGTTTGTGACAGAAAGAAAATCAGTCTTTGTAATAAAACACCCGAAACCTCCGTTTGTGATAGAAAAAGAAAATCAGTCTTTGTAATAAAACAAATCTAGACGATAGTTTACATCGACACCTTCCAAAGAGAGATAGAAATACTACCTGATTGTTTTGGACATGTATTGTCCTTGGAGAAAGAGTCTGTGTTACCACTTGACCTTGAGGAGTGACAACTGTAACTGGCTGGTATACTGTGCCACCTGTAAGTAAGAGCGATGTTTTAAATATAAATGGCAGAGCTTAAGAGTGGAACCTGCGTACTTAAACCAAAAACTAGAGCGAGAATGTATCTCATTATAACCTACCTGGAACCACGTGCGTAGGGTTAACCGCTGAAACCGTAACATTCCCTTGCTGTAGGGAGGAAGTTGGCACGACAATCTGACCGTGGGGACTTACTGTCCCTGGGATGGAACTGGTGTTCTGCAGAAAAGTGGAAGGAAAAAAAAGATCAGGCTCATTTAAAATATTATCCTTGCTGTCATAGCTTTACTAATAAATGGGGAAGTCTTCACTGATTGGATCAACATGCCTTTGCCAATATTTATTAAGGTCTCAATGTCCAGTTTTCTTTTTTTATTATATTTTTATTTGATTTGGATACAGTAAAACTATTACAGTAAGAGTGTTTGCCCGAACTATGATTTATTTTTTAATATAACTCAAGAAACAGATGGGCTGTTCACACCATTGTAACAACCAAAATGAAGGCAAATATTGGCGATATTACCATTTTGCTGATATGACCCACTGAATAAACGTAAGTCAAAGTGAAGTGAACTACCTGTCATTATGACAGAGCACACCTCTGAACACAACGAAATGGGACCTTTGCTTTTAACTCGGTGCCATGCTAAGAGCACCTCAGTGGCAACTTGGCACCTGGTGGACTCGAACCTGAAACCTTCCGGACCCAGGTGTTGCTAAAAATTATTTATTTCGACAGATTAATTTTTTTTGCAAACAAAACAGCAATTCCCACTAAAATACTGTGTAACCACATATAGAAAAGGGAGCTAAAACAGACCATGCACAGATTAGGATCAAATAAATCATAACATGTAATTCTAGTAATAAAATAAAGCTTAGGTGGTGAGCAAAACTGGTAGGTGTTACTTTGGGTCAGAGGAAAGGAGACAAGATCTATATATATATATGTATATATATACACACATATATGTGTGTATATATATA